CGCAAGCAGAACAGCCGGGGCCCGGAGAGAGCGGGCGGCGTGGGGGTGGGGGTCGCGCGCTGGGAGTGCAGCCCGAGCTGGAAATGCCGGAAAGAGCCGAAACTCTCCCGGAGGCGGCCGAGGGCGGGCGCCTCGAGGGGCACCGCGCGAGGGTTTTCCTCTCTAGGTCCTGGCCCGCACTTGATCTCTCAGGCCCCCCTCCCTTTCGCCTCTCACGTCTCCGCCCCGAGAATTTCCACCACTTTCCCCTTCGCCTCCTTCCAGACCCAAATTTTTACAACAAAAGGTCATTTAAGAGCCACCAGCGGCGGGAAACCGGGAGGTCCGGACTTGGTGGCCGCTCAGCCTCCTGGGAGGCCGATGGGAGTGGGCCAGGGTGGAGGCGCTGGCCGGGCCTGGAGCGCTGAGGCTTCCCCGACGAGCTGGAGGTTCTCCGCCCGGGCCACATGCCCTCTACGCGCTGCCCAGTACCTTGCCGAGTCGGTTTCCCGACCTCAGCTGTCCATCCCTCTCGGCGGCTGCGGTCAGTCTCACCGCCCGTCGAATCTCTGTTAAATAGTACTCTGTCTTCGTGGTGAGATTCCCAGCCTCCCCAAGGCCAGAACCACCTTTAATATCTGTGCACCTCCCTAGCCAATGTCCTGCGTGGGTGAAGCGCTCACCCCACTGGTCAGACGCCATTTAGGAGCGACTATAGGTTGGGAATTTAGATAATCGGCATTTAAAAAAATTAATCAGGCCCTCTCGGGGTAGCTCAGTTGGTTAGAGCGTTGTCCCGACACACCAAGGTTGTGGGTTCGACCCCCAGTCAGGGCACATACAAGAAGCAACCAATGAATGCATAAATAAGTAGAACAACAAATTGATGTTTCTCTCTGTCATTTCTCTCCTTCTATAAAATCAATAAATTTTTTTAAAAATTTAATCAGAATCTGTCCTTGTGTTTTTATCTTTTGAGGTCAAACCCTAAGGGGCTGTAAACAAACCAGAGTGTATGTGAATGAGTATGGCCACAGGCACGATGCAGTTTTGGTTTCCACATATTTGTTATTTATTGCAGTTGCAGTACAGGTTATAGAGTAATAGAGTAAATCTCTATGAAATCAACTGGGCCTTTGGTTTTAAACTTTGTATGGGGTAGAGAGTCAAAAATACCCTGGAGCCCACTGACCCCTGGTTAGTAATGTCTAATCTAATGCAACCATATCATTTACAGATCTAAAGAAACAGAAGACGCCCTAGCAGGTTTGGCTCAGTGGATAGAGCATTGGCCTGCAGGCTGAAGGGTCCAGGGTTCGATTCCAGTCAAAGGTACATGCCTGGGTTTCAGGCTCGATCCCCAGTGGGGGGTGTGCAGGAGGCAGCCAACCAATGATTCTCTCTCATCATTGATGTTTCTATGTCTCTCTCCCTCTCCTTTCCTCTTTAAAATCAAATAGAAATTGACATACTAGTAAGTACTCAATAAGTGGTAGACATTGTTCTAGGCACTAGTTCGCTTACAAAGAAGACTAAATGCCATATCACCAAGCAGAGTATCCAGTTGTAAAAGAGGATATAAGATATTAAATAATCCTGTATAATGAAAGGCTAATATGCAAACTGTCCCCTTGGGAGTTCAACTGACTGGGAGTTCGACTGACCAGAAGGTCAACTGCTCGCTATGGCATGCACTGACCACCAGGAGGCAGTGCAAAACGAAGGCCCTGATTGCTAGCCAGGCCTAGGGACCCTACCCGTGCACGAATTTCATGCACCGGGCCTCTAGTTAACTATAATAACATGTGGTAAGTGCTGAAACAGAAAAATGCAAAGTGTAATGAATGACGAACTCTTTCACAATTCCCTTTCCCTCCCATACTGAGTGGGAACAGGCAGATAAGTTCTGGTTAATAGGAAACTTCCTACTAAAGAATGGGACCTGAACCAATGGGATCCAAGATCATATTCTATAATGGCTGACTTCACCTACCAAAAGTCACTCTGGAAATGCCTTCATTACAGGGCATGTTGCTGCTGCAAAACTAATATAGTTTCTTTGGGAGGAAAATAAAGTCCTCACTCTTGGAAACCTTGTGGTCTGTTTAGGAAAGACATTATGCCTCTCATAAGAGAGCCCCTGATTTAACAGGAGAGTTATTTCCATGTGGATACCCGTCTCAAAGAGGAGGTGGGTTAAGGAGCACGCTTAGGCCCAATCTAGGAGAGCTGTCAAACATTGGAAATTTAACGAGATAAAGAATATCGTATTCGCCCTGGCCAGTAGTTCAGTGGTTAGAGCATTGGTCTGAGCACCAGAGGGTCTTGGGTTCCATTCCCTGTCAAGAGCATGTACCTGGATTGCAAGTTCAATCTCTGGCCCTAGTCAGGGCACGTTCAGGAGGCAACAACTATCAATGTGTCTCTGTCACATTGATGTTTCTCCTCCCTCCTTCCCTTCCACTCTTTCTAAAAACCAATGGAAAAAATATCCTCGTGTAAGGATTAATAAAACAAACAAAGGAATATCATATTTTATAGATCTTCAAGGGAGGATTGAGTGTGGTTGAAAGGAACATTTTGCAAAGTCCCTGGGGTGGCAGTAGGTAGGGGTAAGCTCCTTCCAAGAATTTTACTCAAACAATAGCCCTCCAGCCTGGTCATTGTGGCTCCATGGTTGAGCATTGACCTATGAATCAGGAGGTCACGGTTCAATTCTCAGTCAGGGCACATGCCCGACGTTTCAGGCTCAATGGCCAGTAGGGGGTGTGCAGGAGGCAGCTGATCAATTACTCTCTCCCATCATCGACTCTTCTCCCTCACCCTCTCTGAAATCAATAAATAAATATATATATGTATATATACACATACATATATATATGTGTATATATATAAATCAGGAGGTCACGGTTCAATTCTCAGTCAGGGCACATGCCCGACGTTTCAGGCTCAATGGCCAGTAGGGGGTGTGCAGGAGGCAGCTGATCAATTACTCTCTCCCATCATCGACTCTTCTCCCTCACCCTCTCTGAAATCAATAAATAAATATATATATGTATATATACACATACATATATATATGTGTATATATATATATAGCATGTCTTGCTGACTGGGGTTTGCAAGTACCCCTACTGCAACTCATGGTCCACCTTTGCCCTTTCTCCATGCAGCACTTTGTATGCTATACTTCACATGCTATACTTCACAATAAAACAAACCAAAAAATGCCTTCTTTTAAATAATTGCAAATTGTTTACAATCTATAAATTATATTGGAGGAAAAGAAATGCTGTAATAAATTCAACATAATTCTTGTGACCTACTCTGGAAAAAAAAACAAACCAAAAAACACCAAATTTCTGAAATTATTAGAATAACTGCTAAGGCTTACAAACGAAGATCATTTTGAAATAACATCCATATGTCTCAGTTCAGCCTTAAGGGAATTCATTTATCCCAGGTTACCTAATGATTGAGTGGCAAAACTAGAACTAAGAATAAATTATGACATAATCTTCACCTTGGAAGATATATTCTGCAGATATTAACCTGACCTAATTTGATATGTTTCAAATAGATCCTGGAGATGAGAACTTTTCTTGTGTTTTTATTTTAATTTGGTATTTTATATCTGAAATGATTGATTGCCACATTCCATGTTTTTATGATGAAGAAAAAGAGGCTCAAGTTAAACAATAATCTGAGAGACTTAAAATTTTACTCATTATTTTGGAGACTTGATAATCAATGACTAACTGAGGAACATGATTTTTCAAAATCTCTGTTGACTAAAGATAAGGCTACAAGCCACAGCAGGCACAAAGACTAGTACACTCATAAGGGTGTTCTTTTCCCTTTGCTTGGACTACTTCTAATACCTAAGAATATTCATATTGGCAGTCCAAACTGTGTGTATTAGAAAATTAGTTTCATGGGATGCTAAATAGATGTTATCCAAAAAACACTGTTCCAGGTCCAAATAAATTTAGGAAACACTAGTCAAAATCAAGGTGAACTGCTTGCTTTACTTCTCAGAGCATTTGATATGGTAATGTGGTTTGCTAATATTGAAGGGAATGCACTATATAAGTATGCAGCTTTCCCCCAAGGAAACTTAATTCTCCCAGAAGACTTCTGTACAGGGTTAATGTTTCTTTGATCATCCATCTATAAAGTTCTATTACAGGGTTTTGATTAGGTTGGCACTTCCCATTTACAGAGAACAAAACTGAGGTCCAAAGACCTCGGTCAGATATCCAAATTCAGTTGTGTATCAGATGTTCAGAGCTGGGAAAGGCCTTAAATTATCAAAGGTTAACTTGTTACATTGCAAAATTAGTGGCAATATGACAGAACCAAAACTCGGATTTTAAACACTCAATTCAGTGAGAGTGCCTTGCAGGTTCATCAAAAACTTGAATTTAGCCGAAACTGGTTTGGCTCAGTGGATAGAGCATCGGCCTGCGGACTGAAGGGTCCCAGGTTCGATTCCGGTCGGGGGTATGTTCCTGGGTTGCGGGCACATCCCCAGTGGGAGATGTGCAGGAGGCAGCTGATCGATGTTTCTCTCTCATTGATGTTTCTAACTCTCTCTCTCCCTTCCTCTCTGTAAAAAATCAATAAAATATGTTTTTAAAAAAAACTTGAA